AAATGTAGCTTGATTTTGGAATAAAACTAAATCTTCTGAATTACAGTTCCATCATTAATTCATTTTCCACTTCCGAATTTTGAGAATGAATCGTTTGGTCGCAAATGACCATTTACTTTTCGATAGTCGAGTATATTCATCTATTTTCTTCCCGTTTCCTTGCAGACTGGAAATTGCTCTACGGATGATCGATCATACTGTTGCGCTTCCATATTGGGACTCAACGCTAGACAGTCGGATTCCGAATCCGTCGGAATCGTGTCTTTTTAGTGCCGAACTGATGGGTGAAACAGATCGTAATGGTAATGTTATCACTGGATTCACGTCCAGATGGAATATTGACGTGAGCTGAAAACCTGTTGGAATTTGCTTTTTTTTCAATGAAACAAATGTTAAAAAGTGTGAATCTTTGTACATAACTTCTATCAATCGTTTTCAACTAAATACAATGAATACTAATTCCACGAAGACAAAAACTGCCTGTCATGATTTCTTGAGAATGGTTCATTCAGGGTCGTCCCTATTTGAAACGTCAACCGGGCGCTCAAGGAAGACCGTTCACTGAGGCCGATATAGCCGCTGTTATGCAACGTGAAGATGTGAGCAGTATTCTGGCGTATACAGCGCCTCGACCGGTTCGTTCGTTTCATTATTACGGCAGTATTGTTTGACGAGCACCATTATCGTTTCATTATCGGGCATATGCTGGCTCAGCGCTTACAAAATATTATAATATTGAAGGGTTGTGAGCATCAAACTGATTGGACATGTCTGGAGTACAGTCATGGTAATGTGCTGATATTTGTTGGCGGTGAAATGTTCCATCAAATGACATCCGCAAATGATCCGTTATTCTTTCTTCATCACGCTTTTGTTGATCGAATTTGGGAGGATTGGCGCAAACTCAGACAGGTTCTTGCTTCTATTTACGGCTCAAGCAATCACTTTAAAAACCACAATATTATTTTGAGAATGCCAACGCTTAATCTGACATCTGTTTTCTCGTAAAAACTGACTCTTTTGGAAAACCGAATAACGCAATACGATGGTTTGGGATCTGAATTTTCAGTTATGTTCAATATCTGTTTGCTATTGAGAGACTGGTGGTTGGTCGACATTGTTAAGCTGCTTTATCGAATGAAAAACCATTAATATGAATGCTTCGGTATTTTAGTCAGCAATCGCCCGTTCATTAGCTTATCCACCAGATCTGCCGAACTGTAGTAGTGAGGATCATTTCGCTCGTAGTCCAATGCGACCATTTGCCCCATTGCGCAATATTGATGGCATATCAAATCGCTATACATCAAATCTCTATACGTACGCACCAAGACCGAGTTGTAGTCGTGGACACGATCAACAATGTGCATCTGAGTAAGCGATTTGCTCCAGTCCGCTCGTAACTTTCGTTCACATTCTCACAAATACTCCATTATACCAAACTTCTATTCAGGAATCATAATAAGTCATTGTCTCAAGACAATATTAAATGTCTCAGTCTTTCAGATATAAGTGTTTTTTTTTTCGTTGAGAGAATCACTGTTGAAGGGATTCAGCACCTAAACTGGATATAGCGTTAGTTCAGGCAATACGTGAATCTAGATATTATTTTTGAATATCCGAAATATTCAAGTGAATGTATTGCCTGAGAGAAGCCAATGAAGTTGGTTGCAGGTTTTTGTTCTGTGATTTGTCGCATGGTCCACCGCAGTGTGCGGCTAAAATTCGTATTGGTGGACCGTGTTGGGGGTTTGTGAACGGAGAGAGACCGTGCTTACATAGTGAATGCACCGAGAATATTTGCATTCCAGTCAAGGTCTGTTCTAGCTTCATTCTTGAACAAATTCGGTCGCTTATCTTCTCAGTAGCCATCATTTAGTTCAGAAGATATCCGCAGTTGATGAATGCTTTGAAAATATGATATAACATCGACTGCACTGCGATATTTGAATATTTTCCTCTTCAAATCGCTCGTTTTTCTTTACTTCGTTCAAGTTTTTATTATAACTTCCAAATCTAATTTTCATCATATTCAGTGCAACCCAAAGTACAATAATATGCAAGTAATATTTTATCAGCTTAACATCAGTAATAATGATCGTTTCTTAATAGTTATGTTACAGTTCAAATTAGCATCATTCACCTTAATCGTTGTTGCTATTATGGCCTATAATGAACTTTTAGAAGCGATCTGTTAGAGTGAGAAATAAACGTCAGATTACAACCAATGAAGTTATAATCGATGATGAACTTGACGAGAACATTGATCAGGTTTCTACTTATTACATTCGACGTTATTATGCGATCTAATACATTCTCAGCGTTGTATTATTTTCGTTGTTTTGAATGCATCGCTTGATGAATTCTGAGTGAATATGGAACTTTAAACTTATTATTTTGAGCAGTCGATCGATCTGATTCGCTGTGAAAAGTTTTTTTTCTCTCGAAGGTATAGGGGTTAGCACATTCAAGCCTACCGTACTCTCAGCTTTGACCAGCAACATATCAATT